TGACTTTGGGGTATTTTTGTACAAGTTTGGGGTATTTTTGTGAGAGTTTGGAGTATTTTTGTGTGTTTGGAGTATTTTTATGTGAGTTTGGAGTATTTTTGTATGAGTTTGGGGTCTTTTTGTGTAACTTTTGGCTGTTTGTGAGTTTAGGGTGTTTGTTATGTGACTTTGGGGTGTTTTTGTGTGAGTTTGGAGTATTTTTGTGTGAATTTTGACTGTTTGTGAGTTTAGGGTGCTTGTTTTGTGACTTTGGGGTATTTTTGTACATATTTTGGGTACTTTTGTGTAAGTTTGGGGCGTTTTGGGGTGAGTTTGCCCTTGGCACTGCCCAGGCTCCCTGGCTGTGTCCCTGCAGGGCTCGGTGGCACTCACAGGGTGTTTGTGTGCAGGTGAATCGCTTTAACAAGGTGGAGGACAGGGCCATCTTCATCACTGACCGGCACCTGTACAAGATGGACCCCACGAGGCAGTACAAGGTGATGAAGACCATCCCCCTCTACAACGTGAGTACCGCCCTGGGCAGCCTCACCTGGGGCTCCCTCGGGGCACTGTCTTCATTCTGCAGCTCCATTTTCATCTCCATAAAGTGGAAAAAGTCCTTGGCTTGCAGTTTGTGATATATTTAATGTTTTTATAGCAACCCCAAAGCATCAGGGTGGGATTGTTGGGGTGTCCTGGGCAGGACCAGGGGTTGGATTGGATGATCCTGGTGGGTCAGGATATTCCATGGTTCTATAATCCTATAGAAGCTATAGTTCTATCATCTATCATTTCATTTTGCTGCATAAAATAAAATAATTAATCATATATTAATAGAAAATAAAATAATAGTAATAAAATATAGAATAGTAATAAAATAAAATAATTAACCCTATATTAATAAAAAATAATTAATCCTATAGTTCTATATATATATAGTTCTATAATTTAATTTTGGTACATAAAATAAAATAATTAATCCTATAGAATTATATTGTTATATTATAGATATTATATAATTAATATAATTATAGTTCTATAATCTATAATTTAATTTTGGTGCATAATATAAAATAATTAATCCTATAGTAATAAAAAATAAAATAGTAGTAATAAAATATATTATAGTAGTAAAATAATATAATTAATCCTATATTAATTAAAAAGTATTAATCCTATAGTTCTATAATCCATAATTTACTTTTGGTGCATAAAATAAAATAATTAATCCCACAGTAATAAAAAATAAAATAATAGTAATAAAATATAGTATAGTAATAAAATAATTAATCCTATAGTAATAAAAACTAATTAATCCTATAGTTCTATAATCTATAATTTAATTTTGGTGCATAATATAAAATAATTAATCCTATATTAATAAAGAATAAAATAATAGTAATAAAATATTGTATAGTAATAAAATAAAATAATTTATCCTATAGAATTATATTATTATATTATATAATTAATATAATTATAGTTCTATAATCTATAATTTAATTTTGGTGCATAAAATAAAAGCTAAACCCCCAAACTGCCTCTTACAGTTCTCCCTCCCTGTTTGAGTTTGCTTTGCTGTGTGCAGGGCTGGCATTTCACAGCAGCTTATGGCACCAATCCTGTGTCTCTGAGGGCTTCTCTGATCCTTCAGGCTCTGCTTGAATTTATTCATTTTTATTTATTTCTATTTGTGTCAATCTTACCGAAGCTAAACTCAGAATTTCGGTCAGGTCTGGCCCTGGGGGTGGCAGGGTGGAGCTGCCAGGCTGGGCATCAGCAGGGCTGGAAGGGGTGGGCAGCACCTCGGCTTTGCTCCCCAATCCTGGAGCTGCATCTCCCTCAGCCTGAGGTGCTCTGGTTATCTCCGGCCTCCAGAGCCTGCCTGGAAATGCCCTGCACGGATTTTCTGGGATGTTTGCATTTGGAGGAATGACAAACCTGGCATTTCTGCATTGCTGGGAGGGCAGGGATGGGATTAGGGTGAGGGTGAAATCTCATCTGCAGATGTGGAGGGGATGATTGGCTCTGGCTGCATCCACAGCGTTGGGTTTGGAGTCTCCTCCTGCCCTCCTTGCTGGGCACCCAGCACAGAGTATCCATGGAGTAGCTACTCCCAGTAGGAGTGCTGGCTGCAGCAGGCAGTGTCTCCATGGCAGTGCCTCTTGTTTTGAAGGGAAGCTGCCCTGAGCAGCTGCTCTCCTGCCGGCTGCTGTGCCCAGCACTGGTGGCTCCGTGCTCTGAGGGGCTGGCAGCACATCCTGCTGTGTGCCCGTGTAAACTGGGGCGCAGATAACCCAGCCTGGTGCAGACACCCCCAGCCTGGTGAAAANCTGCTCCAGCACCCACCGTGTGGCACCAGGCACTCCTAACCTACTTTCTCAGGGCCATTCAGTGTTTCATAGCCTTTAGGCTTTTTTTCTCCCATTCATCTGCTTCCTAAAATAATCCTGGTTACTCAGCATCTCTTCCTGTGAGATTCCCAGGCCCTCAGTCTTGTTCTTCACCTTCTCTGAAGCACCAGATTGTCCTTCACACTCAGCACCCTGGTCCTTCACAGGCTGTTCCAGGTGAACCATGGCTCCCAGGACATTATTCCCATGTTGTTCCTGTGCCAACATTCTGCTTTTCTGAGCTGCCTCATGTCTGTGTGCCAAGATCTCTCCAGAGCTGTCTGAAATCATCCTCGGTTGCTTTTTCTGAGTCAGTGCCGTTAATGTAAAGCTGTCACAGAGCTCCCCAATTTGCATTTTTTGCCTTTATCTGCTCTGAACTTTGTCACTCCGCTGCCTCCTGACTGAGGATATTTAAGTTCTCCTCTTGTCTCCTGATTTCACCCTGGAAAATCCTATTTCTGTTCATCCTCCTCACGTCTTCCCCTTGTCTCCCCTTCTCAGTTGATTAATAAATATCTCAGTGACTGTGATACAACCATGACTTGGGTTTTGCCTCAGTGAAAAACAATTTCCACTTTGTGTCCTACTTTCTTAGGCACTTCCAAAAAACCTTTACATCCTGCCTGATGAGTGTTTAGTGCTGAGGTGGAGCTGCAGGGAGAGCTCAGAGCCCCTTCCAGGCCTAAAGGGGCTCCAGGAGAGCTGGAAAGGGATTGGGGACCAGGGATGGAGGGACAGGACACAGACCAGGGATGGCCCAAAGCCTCAGGTCTGGACTTGGCTCTGCAGGGCAGGGATTCTCCATTTGGGGTGCCCAAAGCTCCTGGATAATGTGGGGAACACTTGTTCAGGGCTTGGATGTGGTTGGGGAAGCATCTGGCCTTGGTTTGAGTGAAAACTGGAATTTCCCAGCTCTGCTGGGTGACTGGGAATGTTGCTCCCCTCTCTCTGTATAATGGGATTCCAGGGACAAGGTCCAAGGAG